TATATAATTCTACTTTTCCTGCAGTCCTACTTTATATATTCAATTCTAAAACTGTTTAGTTACACTTGGATAAAATGAACAATTTTACCAAATGAATAAAAAAGGTAAAAAGGCTCCCAATAAATACTCGGAATACTATTCTTAAGTATGTACTACTTACATACTAATAGTTTCTAGCACACTCAACTCAACTTCATGTCCTTTGCTATTGTTAGCTGAATAAACGTTACTCTTAAATTGCCTAAACTATTTTTTATAACATTTTGGTAGTCAGAAAAGTAAAGAAGAAAGTTTTAAAGGCAGCTAATATGGTGAGTTTACTCATATGAAACTACAGAAGACACTAAGTGTATGTCCCATTACTACCAGACTTCCTAAACTCGGACAGCTCCTTATTAAATATATGATTAGCCAACATTTTTCTTTCATTCTATGAGGTGCTTTTTCACTTTCTTGATAATGTTCTTTGACACACATTATTTTCTTTTCTTTTGTGTTACAGGGAATCAAACCTAGGCCCTCAAATACACTAGGAAAGCACTCTACCTTCGAGCTATGTTGTGGCATTCTTCCACCTCTTTTTTGAGGCAGGTGGTGGAACCACTGAGCTAAATCCCGGCCCCCAACTTCCACCTTTTTTTTTTTGAGATAGAGTCTTGTTAAGTTTCCCAGGCTAGCCTTGAACTTGCAGACCTCTTGCTTCAGAATCCCAAGTAGCTGGGATTACAGGTATGCACCATGGCATCTGTTTAAATTTAACACGTTTTAAGTGTTTTGTGTCCAATTTATTTTACTCATTTACTTTGTCACTGAATTAAGAAAAGGTCTTGTAACATTATGGTGGGCTCTAAGCCAGTATGACTGATGTCCTTAGAAGAATATAAAACTTAAACATAAAAAAAAGACAGATATTAAGGAAAGGCAATGTGAAGACAGAGAAGACAGCTCACCTACAGTAGTCTCCCCTTACCTGTGGTAGACATATTCTAAGACTCAGTGGATGCTTGAAACCTCAGAAAGTACCAATCCTTACATATACTATGCTTTTTCCTGTATGTATTTAACTACAGTAAAGTTTAGTTTTATTCCTGAGCTTTTAGACCATTAAATTAAATAAGGATGACGTGAACACATGCACAGTCAATCTGCTAACCAAGACAGCCAAAAAGTGACTAATGGGTGGGTAGCATACACAATGTAGATACACTGGACAAGGGAATGGTTCACATCTCTGACAGGATGAAGCAAATGTGTGAGATTTCTTGCATGCTACACAGAATAATGTGCAATTTAAAACATAAATTATTTCCGGAGTTTTCCATTTAATATTTTTGGACTACAGTTGAGCACTGGTAACTAAAATCACAGATAAGGGAAATTACGTGCAAGTTATGGAGAGAGGCCTGGAACAAATCTTTCGCCCACATTCCTCAGAAGAAAGTCTTGACCTTCAGAAGTCTTGACCTCAGACTTCTAGTCTCTAGAACTGTGAGAAAATAAATTTCTGTTGTTTAAGCCACCTAGTCTATAATACTTTGGTGGCAGACTGAGTAAACTAATTCAACAAATAAAAAAGGTAATTTTCTAACTAAACACTTAAGAACAAGGAGGAGCACTAAGAAAAGAATAGTGGCAAGAAAAAAAATCTCTCTCTAGTACAGTATTCTCTTTGAAATATTTGTCAAACTATCTGAAAGTGAAGCTCTTCCCTGCAAGAACAATAAGAACAAATAAGGAACAAATAGACACCATCCTCTTGTAGGAATTCAGATCAGGGCCCTCAAATGTCTACAAAGACTTGTTTCTTCCTTGAGAGTAAAAGCCAAAACCTCTATAGTATCTAAGGCCCTTTATGATTGCACTCCCTGCCACCTCTCTGATAATTATGTCTGTGTTCTCTCCCCCAACTTACCCTTTCCAGCCACATCTGCTTTCCCTGACAGGCCTGCAAGCTTCAGCCTCCAGAAGTTATACTTGCTTTTACCTTTCCAGACATCTTAAGGGCCCAGCTCAATCAATGCTTATGGAGTGCTATCAGAGTGAGGTCTTCCCCCATCACACTATTTAAATGCAAAATCAGCCCCCGCCCAGCTGTACCAACATCCCCTACCCTCACCACACACAAACCCTACATACATACTTGCTTTTCTTCAATGCACATATCATTATCTGAAATAATATATATTTTATTTATTGTCTAATTGCCTCAGAGTCTAGTTTAGAGACTCAATGAATGCAGAAACTTCATTCAGTTTACTTCTGTATCATGACCTAGCAGGTGCTCAACAACAAATCTTGAGTGAATATATAGGCATAATTTTACTTACTGAGCTGAGATTTAGAATTAGTGCCTTTTCATAGTTTATACCTTCACTTCCTTTTTTTTTTTACATGCTCCAATTTGTCAGTAACTGAGGGAAATATTCCCAAACTGGCCTTCCTTTTGCCTCTCTTTGGTAACTAGAAACTTGGACAGAAAGTTCTAAGGTCTCTGGCTCAACTCTTCTCTATTCTTTCAGCATTATACTTCCTGAGTGGGGCTTGAGTAGACCTGGAATCTGTGAGAGGTCTAGTCTACAAGATGAAAGTAATGTTTGTCTCTGAGTAGTGAATCAAGATTTGCTTTGCACTCTAGATTTCAATATTTCCTCCCACTTCATTTATGCAACAGGAAATATACTAGCACCAGGCAAACTTCTTGGAGCTGAAATCCATCTTCATCCCTTAAATATTCCTCAGAATCTTACTTCATTTGAAGAGAAACAAACAAAAAAAGAGAGAGCATTTTTTAAAAAAAAGTACAACCAAAGAACAGAAAAAGGAAAAAAAAACCCTATTAATAATCCAAATATTGGGCCAGGGATTTAGCTCAGCGGCACTGTGCCTGCCTTGCAAGCACAAGGTCCTGAGTTCAATCCCTGGTACCAAAAAAAAGAAAAAAAAAGAAAAAGAAAAAAAAAATAATCCAAATATTTAGCTAAGGGAAAAGATTAAGTAAATTATGAAACATTAACTCACTTGGAGTCATTTAAATGGCTATCAAGATTATGTTTCAAAATAGAAATATTAATGAATGCTGTTTAAATTTCAGTGACAAACATTATTTAATCGTGTTTAGTATGAAAACAAAACAGAAACATTGCAAATCCAATAATTTAAGCCCTCTAAAATCTATGACTACAGATGAATAAAGTTTATAAGAGAATGCAGAAATGCAAATGTTTTTGTTAGGATGAAATTATATTTACTTTATCTAATTATACACTAATATTGTAATAAATTATTTAAATGTAAATATGAAGAATGTTCGTATTTGCCAAAGATCTGACAGGAGAAGGAAGACTGGGAATAGACCTAGGACCTTAAAATATATAATGAGAGAAAACACACTGGTTCTTACCCTTGTGCCTCTTCAACTGGGGAAAGCTGCTAATTGTAGTCGCTTGGATTATTTCCACTACAATCTGATACCTGATTTTAAAGAGAGAAAGAAAAGGTTGAATAGGAGGAAAACACTATTTTTATAGATACTTTTACACTACATTTGTAATAAACAAATGTATCATAGAACTGTGGATCCTAGCCAAGTTTCACTAAAACAATCCAACATAGACTGAGCATAGACTGCTGGGCCGTGTGCTAGTCAATTCTGAGGCCCTAAAAGAAGAATCGCAAACCTGCCTCCTACCTCTACCCCCACTCCCATATACCAAAAGCAAGACTATATTCCCCAACAATGAATGCAGGAACTGAGGTTCTTCTCAACTCTTCCTTCTCCTCAGTACTCCTTGATAACTAGAACGAGTAGATTCCAACTTCACTGTCCAATGGGATAGCCATTAGCTACTTGCAGCTCTTTAATGAATTAAAATCATAAATGTAGTTCCTCAGTCACACTAGTCACATTTCAAGTGCTTGGTAGTCACATGCAGTGTATGCACCATATTGGACAGTACAAACTGAAAGAACATTTCAACAGTGCAGATAGATCTTCTGGATGTGCTTCCTACATACTTCTCAAAGGTGTCCACTCCCCTATAGTCACACTAACACTGCCTTGATGCATTCCCTCATTATTTCTCACCCAGAAGAATGTTGCAGACCAAGAGTTGGAAAGTCTGCAGTGGGACTCTGGTATCAATATTCTTTTAAAGCTCCCTCAGTAATTCCAATGCATAGTGAGAGTTGAGAACCATTGGATTAGAGCACCCAGGCACATGTATGTGTAAAGATCTGAGTCAGGAAAAAATAAATAAAATTTTACCTTTTAAGTGCTAAGTACAACTGTGAAATTGTGGCTGTTTTGAGCATACTAAATTGGGACCTTATAGATCAGTTTCTTAAAGGTTACTCATTGATTACTAGGTATTTCCCTAACCAAAATGATCTGCATTGTGCATTTTTTTAGCTCTTAAACACATTGACTGTTTAAGAATCTGACTGTTAGAAAGCTATTTAGCATTCTTACTTTGAACACAAACTTTGCAGCATTTTAAGATTAGAGCTACATCTGGCTGGCTTTTAAAACATAAAATAACATATATATACTCTTTTTGTTTTTTAACTAAATCCCAGAGGAAAGACACAAATTCATCAAAGTCATAATTATCCACATCAAAGTTTATCAAAGTCCAGGACTACCCACAAATTCACATTTATTTATTTTTTCTCCACTTGTATACTATAAACATCCATGTCTGAGTCTTACCACATCCAAGAGCAGACTGTTAGTGCATTGTTGGCCTGTCGCTTTCAGGCTGTGGCAAACACTGTTAGCTGCCTGAGGGGTAACATCCTTCCTCCCTTTCTTTGTTACTAAGACACAGTTTTATCAGGGAAAGCAATGAATGCATCGCCTACAAGTGCATCACCATCTCTCTAGCAGTTAGGGGTGGCCATCTGACAGCCCAGACTGCCCATCTCGGGATATGCTGCTACATAAGGAAAATAATCCCTAATTTAAGTCACTGTATGCCAATTTGTCTCATGCTTTCCAAGGAACACAGAGCTCTTTGAGGACTCCATACACACAGAAGGTATCTCTAGGCTGAATATGGACTGAGATGCTGTTTTCCAAGCTAAAGCCTTGAGAGGACACCATCAGTAGTTTTCTAATGAAAGTGCCTTCATTCCACCAAATTATGGCAAAGCACAAAAACAGTTTTTTATATGAATTTTCCTGGAAGTTGGCAAACAGATGAGGAAATGGTTTATAAGAAGCATACACAAACCTAGAACTATTGAAGCCCAATATTCCCTAAACAAGTTCTTTATTTAACTGAGGGTCTACTACTGAAATGTGCTGACTTTTCACTCAACTCCAGGAAATGTCTTTAAATATCCCCCTACCCATAGCCACCTGGATATCCTGCAAATAAATTTAATGTCCATCTGCACAGCAATTCCAATCTCAAGAATTTATTGCAAATAGCAGCAAAAACAAAAATAGAAAAACTGAAAAGTAAAACTATCAGGGCTGGGGATTTAGCTCAGTGGTGCCGCACCTTCCTCAAAAGTATAAGGTCTTGAGTTCAATCCCTGGTATAGGGCAGGGTAGGAGCGGGGAGATGACATTGCATCCAAAGTTCAGACTATCATATATGTTGCAGCAGCTTCTATGAAGAAAAGCATGGAAATAATATATGGGGTCAACAATGCTTTCATTAAACATTTATTAATCTTTTCCTATGTTCTGGACACACTGATATTTCTTCTGCTTTTAGGAGCTCTGGGGCTATATCAAAGAGAAAGGACTCTGCCAATAATATTTATAAAGATTCCATGAAGATAAATCTTTATGACATATTAATTTTAAAAATACAAAATGGCATGTACATTTATGATTGCAGATATGTGGGTAAACTAGCCAGGGCTACAAGACAAAATAGAGATAAAGTGAAGAGCTGTGTTAAAATTGTAGAATTATGGTCAGGGATTTAGCTCAGTGATTCTGCCACCTGCCTCGCAAGTGCAAGGTCCCGAGTTCAATCCCCGGTGCCAAAAAAAAAAAATTGGCAGAATTATGAGTCAGTTTTAAACTGAAAATTTCCAAACTACCCCCTTCCCTTTAGCTATGGATATAAGCTTATTCAAACTCACCTTCTTTCCTGCACAGAAAGCTTTCCTTACCTCTCCATTTCTGCACTAGTATTATCTTCCTCCTCCTCAAAATTCTACTATGTTAGATCTCTAACATGCCAGTATCAGTCCAAGAGTCCTATTGACTTGTGCTCTGATCATCTTCCTCTTGCCTTGGCCCTTGTTCAAGCCTTCTGCTCATGTGTGGGTCACTAGGATGGCCGAACAGTCTAGCTCTCCCTGTGTTTCTACCCTGCTCTCTCCCATCCAAATGTGTGTGAATACCCCTCTGACAAGATCACTTTCACCTTATGCCTCCTTTGCTCAATACCTCCAGCATTAACGAATGGGGGCCTGGGATGCAGCTCAGTGGCATGGCGCCTGCCAGGCAAGCGCAAGGTACTGAATTCAATCCCTGGAACCAGGGGTGAAAAAAAAAAAGCAAAGGAGTAATGAATGATACATTCCAGCCTGCATTCTATCCACAAATTTGCACTAGCACTCTGATGTATCCCAACTTCTTTTTCCTCTTTGATAAAATGTAGACTTCATCCATGTCAATTTCTATACTGTTGTGGCAAAACTCTATGCTCTTGCTTATGCCCTGTGTCCTTCCAGAGAGTAATCTCCCTACTTGCTCATCTAACTAAACCTTACATACATTACTTCTTCCCTCAAGTCTTCCCCAATGCCCTGTAATGCATATTTTCTCTGAAATCTTAAATTACTTCTGCACAGTGATAGCATCACTATTTACTATTTCGTATTGCTGTTTTAAAGAATCACACTTCTAGCTCGGCATGGTGGTGCACACCTGCAATCCCAGCACTTGGGGGGCTGAGGTAGGGGGATCTGGATTTCAAGGCCAGCCTGGACTATACAGCAAGACCCTGTTATAAAACAAAACAAAACAAGACAAAAGTATTACTTTCAGAGATGCTACAAAGAGAATTGTGTGTCCAGTCATTTCAGGGCCTAGTAGTCCTTCAAAAAATGGTGGCACTTCTTTAAACCTAAGACAAAATTATGGCTTTGTGTTAAACTCACTCACTCACTGTATTTTTTTCTCTCCATCTACATCTTGAGCCTTCAAGATTGTGTCTTGTATTCTCCCATAGTACCTACCACAGTACTAAACATATGGTAAATACTCAACAAATATTAATGAGTTCACACTTAACAGGTACACATAACATTCTGAACAATTTGTTCTTTTGATATTTTTAGTGATTCATTCTTTGGAACAAATGAGTCACTAATGGTACTAAAGAGAATATACACTGCCTGAGTAAAAAGTTAACATAAAATTATAATGTAATATCAGCTAACATTTACAGATTCCTTTCATTAGTTACCAGGGACATGTTTAGATATTTTAATTCACATGATCTTACTTAATCCTCATAATGGGTCTATAACTATCTCCATATTGCAGAGGAGGAAACTGTTGCACTAAGAAATCTATACAAGGTCCCACTGCTCTTAAGTACTACAGCCAGAATTAGCAGTGAGGGTTGCCTGATTTAAAGCACATGGTACTCAACATTTTCCTGCTACTCTTAAGATTCAACATATAGGTGAATTCTTATCTTGGTATTTTTTGTTTTTTGAGACAGGGTCTCACTATGTAGTTCAGGCTGGCCTCAAACTCATGGCAATCCTCCTGCCTCAACCTCCCAAATCCTGGGATTACAGGCTTGTCCCACCATTCCCAGCTTAATGTTTATCTCCTTGAAGCCTTTTCAAAGTACATAAGCAAGGCCATGGCCAAGGCCACATAATGTTTCCAGTCTTACTGCCTTCTGTATCCCTCTTGGTTACTTTGTTTCTACCCAGCTAGATCACATGCAATACCCACTAAACACTCTGTTCCTCACTGACTCCCAGTTTTTGCTTGTCCCTTTCTTCTCCTTTGTGTGTACACTCACTCCTTACCTGTTAAAATGCAATTAGTTCTTTTTTTGGGTACATTTTAAATATACATAATGATAACATTCATCATAGGGAATTTGTACTTGCAAATGATAAATTTTGCTTCTTTTGTTTCCCATTTCCCTCCTTTCCCACCAATCCCTTTCCCCCTCCTTATTTAAAAAAGCTTTGTTTCCATTTTTTCCTTCTTTACTCTTTTTTCTTGTCTCTTCCTTCCTTTCCCCTTCCCCTCATTTCCTTTCCCATTTGAACATTTTCTTCCCATTTCCCAATATCTAGTATACATTTTGGTCCTTATTTACACTTTCAGTTTCTCACACCAGAGAAATAACTAGGTAAGTAAACAAGTGTATCTAATTTATTTCACTTAAGAGTATAGTCTCAAGGTGACTCCATTTAGCTAGTAAATGTCTCAAGTTTATCCTTCTTTATGGCAGAGTAGTACTCCATTGTATAAAAAA